GACTGAGAGTCTGTAAAGGGGAAACAGCATCGCTGGGGAAGGTCTGTAAACCCTGGCTGAACTCATACTTTCCCAACAACCAGTGCATAACATTACATGATAAAAGATCTGTGGAGTGTGCAGCGGATTTCAGTGTAACCGAGGGCAAAGAGTTTACTAGTGGTGGTTTCAGATTCTGTTTTGTAACAAACCTTTAAAAATTAAAAGCTACTGTTTCTTCTTTGATGTAATACCCAAATAAGGAATGTCTACAATTATTTGCATAGGCTGTGAAAACAGTCCTTTCTTCAATTATATATTTGTGTGAGGCCAGACTTTCTTCATATGCTGTACTTTAACCAAAACAGCATATTGTAACAGATTGTGTGCAAAAGCAGATAAGAGAATGCAGCTGCCTTCTATTAAGCCAGTCATTAGAGTTACAAAATGTAGAACAGTGCTACACTTCTCCCTGAATTTGAAGGGGGAATCACATGTTTGATTAAATATGTCACCTGGGTTAATGTGTAATGCATTCAATTACTTTTTAGTGAATCAGTAAATATTTTCGAAATTTTCTGAGTTATTGGTTTCTACTCCAGCAAAAATGAGTCTCAGTGGTTATCAGCAGTCATGCTGGAAGCAGCCTGCAGCGGTTCACAGAGCCATTTGTTCACATTTCAGGAGTTGTTGCAAACTGATTATTAAAGAGCCATTATTTTAAAATTAAATTATATAAAAAGGATGTTTAGAAAACAAAGTAATAATTACTCAGACTTCATCCCTCTCTTAGCCACATTGCACTATTTCTCTTGCTCTTGTGGTTACTCCTGTCTTGTCTCTTTGTGGAAAAGCCGTACGCTGGAGTGGCATTGCATGCATCCCTTCCCAGCTTCCTGGTCAGTGAATTCTCATGGGAAGCTTGGCTGTGGCTGTGGTGCGCCTACACATTTAAAGTGATCCTGAGACCAGAAAACTTTTAAAAACTGCTGCTCCATGTTTGTTTGCTTATGGTTTTATATTTTTCTTATAATTAAAATGTAAACTTTGAAAATAAAAGTATAATTGGGCATAAGACTAACTTCTTGAACTGTGTAGAAATCACCTTCTGAGTGCATGTGTCCTTGCCCCTCCGAATTCCTGCGTCCAAACCTTACCCCTCAGATTGAAGAGGTAGAGAGAGACCAGATACCAACCGTGTGACCAGTGAGGATAAGGGTTTTACTGAATATGAGCCTCTAGGTTTTGTAGACTGAAGCCAGAAGCTTAGAATTGAGACTAAGAAAGAATGCTGCCTTTTTAACTGCTTCGATGAAATGAAGGCACCCCTGGGCCAGAATGGTGAAAGCTGTGCTGATGTTGTGTTAGGGATGACTTCCTGCTTCCTGATGGGGTCCATGGGCTTGTGGTCGACTAGAGGACTTCGCTTCTGCAAAATAAGACCTCTGGGAGAAGTTAGAAAGGCAAACACAGAACCCTTAAGAGTGGCTGTTTCTTGGAAATGGGAGTGAAGAGTCCTTAACTTCTAGGTACACTCTGAACAGGTGCACTTTGTTAAAAATGCATATTTTTTTACTTGCTAACCATTAAGTACTGGTTCAGACTGGCCAGAATGTACCATGTTAGCCTGTAGCCAACAGTGGGCAATTAAACAGAAGCTTAATGATTTTTGGCATATTTAAATGTAGGGACTTATAAAGGGGTAGAGCTGACCGGTGACATCGACACCTGGGCCTCCAGTCAGGGTCCTTGGCCATGTGGTAGTCAACCCCTCTCAGAGATCCTGTGGCATATTGTGGGAGGCAGGGAGATCTGTCCTTTCAAAGCTGTAATAAACGGTACTTCTTCCAGTGTGCATTTTAAATCTTTGTAGCAAAGGCCCATTTGCCTTGCAAAAATAAGACAGTTAAAACTCCCACCAATGTCCATGAAAGTATGTGTTTTCAAAGTGCTTGCCATTGCTACATGTTAACAGTCTAAAGTAAATAGAAATATATTTAGTATGTTTTTGTGCTGAACCAGAGTTAACATACTTTTATGTGGTTACACAAAAACCAGTGTGGAATTGAGAAGTAACTGAAGGGATTAGGAAGTTGTGCTTGTCTTTACTATAATTATCTTGGTTTGTTTTCTATCTAGGTACTTTTAAACTAGTGATAGAATTTTCTGAAGAATATCCAAATAAGCCGCCAACTGTTAGGTTTTTATCCAAAATGTTTCATCCCAATGGTGAGTAGCCGTGTATTTGTGGGGGCAGGGGACAGAGTTGTTTCCTGTTAGGTCCTGCCCCTTTCCTCTCCCTTGGAGAGCCCTCTTGGGGATAGCACTTCCCTGTCCGTGGCAGCCATGTTTACCACTTGGGGCACCCACCTACTGTATCCTAGTAGTCTGAGTTCCGGCTTCCTGTTCATATACACCCTGAGAGGCAGCAGATGATGGTTCAAGTACTTGGGTTCTTGCCACGCACATGGGAGCTCCCAGCTGTAGCCTGGCCCATCTCTGGCTGCCGGGGGCAATTTTGGAATGAATCAGGTGATGAAAGCTTTCTTTCTGCTTTTCAAGTAGAATGAAAATGAATACAAATTTAAAAATAAATAAATGCTTCCCCTTAACACCCCACACACATACACACAAACAAGCTCCAGATTTGATATAAAGTTGCCTTGTTTGGGCAGCTTCTGAATTAGGAATAATTAACGTCCATTTATGGAAATGTGAAAAGATTTATCACCTAAAGTTTAACTTTGAAAATGCAGAGTTTGGGGCCATGATTGTGGCACTGTGGGTCAAGCTGCTGCCCGTGATAATGGCATCCCCTATTGAATGCTGGTCTGAGTCTCAGCTGCTCCAGCCCTGTGTCCTGGTGATGCATCTCGGAAGGGAACAGCTAACGGCTCCAGTTCTTGTGCCCCTGCCACCATGTCAGATACCTGGAGGGAGTTCCTTGCTGTGGCCTGGCACAGCCCCAGCCATTGTGGCCATTTTGGGAGCGAACCAGGAAATGCAAGGTCCTCCTCTTTTCCCCATCTGCCCTTCTCCCCTCTGTCACTTTGCCTTTCAGATAATTTTTTTTTAAAATGCAGTTTTTGTTTCGACAAAATTGGGATCAGGTATATGAAGCTTAAGTGTATTTTTAAAGTTCAGTAAAGTGTTCTTCATTTATTTGAAAGGCCCAGTGGGAGAGCATGCAAGTGTCCTGCTGTGATCTCCCCTAAGTGTTAGATATGCATGGTTAAGGTGACCAGTACTCTTGTTGTCTTCACAGTGTATGCTGATGGTAGCATATGTTTAGATATCCTTCAGAATAGATGGAGTCCGACATACGATGTATCTTCTATCTTAACATCAATTCAGGTAAGGCTGTGTTAAGATGCATCAGAATTTTTTTGATATTTTCTGAGATAGGACGCATCCTCAAAGAGTGGTGTGAAGACCAGGGGAGCAGACTTTTCCTGTACCCAGCTGCCCCATGGCAGGGCTCAGACAAGAGCTAACTGATCAGTGTGGGGCCCCCTCCCTCTCCTTACCACATATGTAAGTTGTTTTCTCACTGATCACTTAAAACTCATGTCCCTGAGTGTGGAGAAATAAAGATGGTGGTTTGCAAACCACGGGGTCCCCAAGCCACTGTCAGCTGCAGAGGAGCGCAGAGGTGCGGTCCCACCTGAAGGGGACGATTTGCCCGGTCTTCCGGAGCTGCCCTGGGATGATGGTTCTGGAGGGCAGGAGGGAGGGGTGTGTGAGCCTCGGATCTGAGAGGAGCAGAACTCACCTTCTGCTTTGTGACCGTCTTTGTGAAGGTTTTTCTGTCACATCTCTTTAACTCCAGCCATCATTTTGTGTTACTCTCAGCTTTCCTGTTACATTCCCTCATGACTGCATGTCTGTATTTTGTTGATTAAACAAGGTTCACCCCCAATCCCGGCTTACTCAGACATTTGGAAAGTAACCATGATAACAGTTGACCCTGGGAAAATGTCGATTATCAAGGTTTGTCAGTGTTCTCTTGTAACCAAATGAAGCTGTTTGTCTTCTTGTTAATGGGAAGTCTCAGCATACTAAAGAATGTTGTTCTTTTCCGACTTCAGTGAGATTACAGGTCTTCAGGGTGTTGAGGACTATTTCTTTTAGAAGCTTAAGTTCTTTAGCAATAAGAAATGCCTTACTGTACTGTTTAGCGAGCCGTTTCTGAAAGTATTTAGAGCTGGTAATCTCTGCAGTCACTGCTGTTGGAGTGTTTTTTCTGTTCTCCCTGTCTGACCCAGTAGTACAAGGAGTCACTGTGCCAATCAGTGTTTTCTCTCCTCTTTCCTTCTAGTCTCTGCTGGATGAACCGAATCCAAACAGTCCAGCCAATAGCCAGGCAGCACAGCTTTATCAGGAAAACAAACGGGAATATGAGAAAAGAGTGTCGGCCATTGTTGAGCAAAGCTGGAATGATTCCTAATAGACACCGGGCTGTTGATCCTTTCCATCATTGTTGTGTATAATTTACCTCTCAGTAGAAAGGCTAACAAATTTTAAGTGCCACAAGTTTTAAGGATTCTGCAGAAAAACAAGAAAAAAGTCCTTCAGTTTAGAACCTACAAAAGCTTGTGTATCTTGATTAATGTACTTTTTATTGCATGGTGTGAACTAAGTTATTGCTGCATAAATTTGTAATATATCCTGTTTGTATTTTTTTCCAAGTGTATAATGTTGGTGTGGAGTTTTCATGACAGAATATACACATTTTGTAAATCTGTACTTTTTTCAAATATTGAATGCCTTATTTTTGAATTCTTTAGATTTTTAAATTGGAGAAAAGCACTTAAAGTTTTTTATATATGAATATTACATGTAAAGCTGTTAAAATACATAACTTCAGTGCAAGACACTTTGTCACTTATTTCCTTATCTGTATAGGAGGGGTTAATAACTAGCTGTCCATCAATTGATAGCTTTATTTCCAATTTCAGAAGAACATAGCTACATTTATCAAGAAAGTCTTCAAACTTGACTCTGAATACCAGTTATAATCTCCACTTTATTTGGACTGTACCTGTATTACTTTGAACTGAGCAGTCATGGACATAACTGGTCTGACTGCCCAGCTCTGTTGAGGGCACTTTCCCCACATAGTACTTGCTCTTGCTCTGTAGCTTCTGCCATTCTAGTTGGCACCTGTGCCATCCACAGAGCATCGCTGCACACAGTCACCAGAAATCCATGCACCCACTCCAGTGCTGGCAGTTAGCCGATTACGCTGGTTTGAGCAAGGCAGCATTATTGGTGTAATTTACATGTTTGAAGACTACCTTTTTTTTTTTTTTTTTTTTTTTTTTTCAGGCAGAGTGGACAGTGAGAGAGAGAGACAGAGAGAAAGGTCTTCCTTATGCCGTTGGTTCACCCTCCAATGGCCGCCGTGGCCAGTGCGCTGCGGCCGGCGCACCGCGCTGATCCGATGGCAGGAGCCAGGAGCCAGGTGCTTCTCCTGGTCTCCCATGGGGTGCAGGGCCCAAGCACTTGGGCTATCCTCCACTGCACTCCCGGGCCACAGCAGAGAGCTGGCCTGGAAGAGGGGCAACCGGGACAGAATCCGGCGCCCCGACCAGGACTAGAACCTGGTGTGCTGGCGCCGCTAGGCGGAGGATTAGCCTAGTGAGCCGCGGCGCCGGCCCGAAGACTACCTTTTAATGCAATTGCCTGTCTTTATTCTGGGACAATGTGTTAACATCAGGGCTCACTGAATTGCTTTCTCTTGTGGGGATGTTTTATCTCCTAAGTTGTATAACAGTTGTCCTACATTTTAGTTTACTGGATAAAGTTAAAACACAGTATTGTGGGAAGCTAACACAGTTCTCCTGCGCCTTCAGATAGAAAATGGAAAATCTACAAGTAAATCTTTTGAAACACCTGTGTAGTCTATCTCATAGTTAAAACAGCTGTTTCAGTAACCGCAGGAATTTACTGCCATATCCGTCCTACCCTCTGTTGGAACAGTGGGTCTGGCCCACCTACAGCTTCTGTCCATGAAGCAGAGTTAACACTGGGATGCCCAAGTTCACCTTCAAAAAGTTCCTTGGCAAGCGTGGGGTGGGTGTGTGATCCCAGCATCCCCTCCAGTGACTCTTGGGTTAAATACTGGGCTCTCAGGGTCTCGTCTTGCATTCATTAAATGCTGCTTGGACTCTGCTTCAGCACCACCCTTTTTACCACTGTTTTCTCTGCTGTTTTAAAGCTAGAACGTGTCGGGTTCTGACTGAGAATTGCAGGGGAAGTGTAGCTTCCTTTGCAGGGAGGTCAGTGAGCTTTATTAACTCCCGTATTCACACTCAAAACTGGATCTGAGCCCACATGTGGAGAAAATCCCTAGGAAGGTCCCCTCTCGGAACTAATTATGGTTTGTTTTCAGCCTTACAATTTTTTTTCTTTTTAAAGATTTATTTTATTTATTTGAAAGACAGAATTAGAGAGAAATCGATCTTCCATCCACTGGTTCACTCTCCAAATGGTTGCAACAGCCAGAGCTGTGCTAATCAGAAGCCAGGAGCTTCTTCTGAGACTCCCACACAGGTGCAGGGGCCCAAGGATTTGGGCCATCTTCTGCTTTCTCAGGCCATAGCAGAGAGCTAGATGGGAAGTGGAGCAGCCAGGACTTGACCCGACCCAGTGCCCATATGTGATGCTGGTGCTGCAGGCCAGGGCTTTTAACCTGCTGTGACAGCACCGGTGCCCATATGGGATGCTGGTGCTTCAGGCCAGGGTGTTAACCTGCTGTGCCACAGCGCTGGCCCCTGGAGACATGTCTTTTCAACTTGGATCCACCTCCTTGTTAATGTACCTGGGAAAGCAGTGGAGGATGGCCCAAGTGCTTGGGCCCTGCACTTATCTGGGACATCCAGAGGAGCCTCCTGACTCTGGCTTTGGCCTGGCCCAACCCTGGGTGCTGTGGCCATTTGGGGAGTAACCCAGTGGATGGAAGATTTCTTCCTCTCTCTGTAACTTTCAAGTAAATAAATCAATCTTAAAAAAAAAAAGAAAGATGAAAGTCCACAGGCTAGGGACAAGTTCTTCCTATCTTCACTGCAGCTTTATGAAACAGGAAAGTCTCCACTCAGAGAAAACATTAGCTGTGCCAAAACGATGCGTGAGCTCTGCTTTCTACAAACCTTGTTGGGAGTGTGACCGTCCCACAGCTCAACATTAGCTTTTCAGTGGTGACCCTGGAAGGACTTGAGCTCCAGGCTTCCTCGTTGGTGTATGGACGTTCACACTTGGTGAGAAGCTTGCACGTGGAACTCTGCCATTTGATGAGTGTTGAAGTTTAACCGCATGATGCTCCTATGATCACAGCTCCTGGATTAATACATTTCTCAAGAAGCTAACACACAGTGTGTTCTGGACGATGAGGGCAAGTAGGTGCGTGGGGATGGTCCTGGTACCAGATGGCCCTCTGGAGCCTCGGGGGTGATCAGCTGACCTCTAGTCGTACCTGGAAGTCACATCCATCACATGGACCTGGGTTGGGAACTTAGGTAAAGGGGACCAGAGCCTGTTACTATGACGACCCCTTCAGGCTCCATCAGGCTAAACCATTTAGTCACCTTTGTTGGAATGAGGAAGGGATTATCCACTGTGTCTTGAAGGCTGCCAAGAGCAAAGGGTTGGTTGTGCTGCTTCCTGTTAGAAACCCAAAGGATGCAGTTGACCTCTTCCCTTCGTCCTTTACAAACAAGACCTTTTGCCAAGAATACCGCAGCCCACCAGCTGAACTGGACTAGCAGCACTCCCACTAAGAAAACATCAGAGAAGCTGCAGCCCTTTGGCTGCCCCTGTACAAACTCAGTGTATAAAACCGAGTTGGAAAGTTTCTGTGTTGGTGCTGGTACAAAGAAAACAAGGAACAGGAAGCTGCTCACCTACTGCCGCCTCCTGAGTCAGACAACTTTCCACTTCCAATAGGAAAAAGATGGCTTTTGGTTGTCCTGATAACCATACCGGGCAGAGACCAGGGAGGAATCGGAGACTCCACCCAGTATCACCAGGCTCAGCCACAGGCTCGGAAATAACCCCCTCCAGGAGAAGCTAAATTATTCATCTTGCTGTGTTGCAGCAGGCATGACGGCTGTGGTTTCAGGTGACGGTGTCCTGCAATGTCAGCTGGACAGTCCTGGGCGGGAGGCGGGGGTACAAGGGGTCTTCTGCAAGCCAGCAAGACCAGGAAGGCGGCCGGGGCCTGATGCCAGGGAGGGCGCTGAGCCTGATGCCAGGAGGGCCTGGCTTTTGGAAGCGCTTACACATTTGCTCTTTGACTTGAGCCAGGTCTTCTGCACAGAGCAGCTTGAAAACGGGCCACAGTCACTGCAAACCCAGTGAGGGCTCAGACTCCAAGAGCCAAAGGTGGGGATCTGCTCTCCTGACGGCCTTTGGCTGTGCATGCAGAGGCCTGAGCAAAAGGCCTATGGGACAACAGAGGACCTCCAGGGTCCAAGCTCCAACTACTCTTGGACGCTGTAAATCGCATTCTGTTTCTTACTCTAAAAGTAGAAAACGGTGCTGGCATAGTGGCACACACATTCCAAATGAGCCTCTCAGTCCTTGCTGCTCCACTTCCTATTCAGCTCCCTGCTAATGCACCTGGGAAACCAGTGGAAAATGGCCCAAGTGCTTGGGCCCCTGCATCCACGTGGGAGACCTGGATGGAGTGCCTGGCTTCCACTCGGCCCAATCCCAGTCTCTGTGGCCATTTGGGGAGTGAAGCAGTAGATGGAAGCTCTCTCTTTGTAACTCTCCCTTTCAGATAAATAATCTTTAAAAATAAAAAAAAAAAGTCATTTGGTAAATAAAGAAATAAGAGTCACAGTCTACCGCCTGAGATTTTTTTTGTTGTTTTAAAATAATTGAAAGATCGTCCATCTGCTGGTTCATTCCCCAGAACACAACACCCAGGAGCCAGGAATTCCATCAGGGTCTCCCATGTGGATGGCAGTGGCCCAGTCACTTGGGCCATCTTCAGCTGTTTTCCCAGGCACGTTAGCAGGGAGCTGGATCAGAAGAGGAGCAATTGGGATGGGAACCAAGATACCAGCATAGGAAGTGATGGTTTAACCTGTGCCACAACACCAGCCCCCACTACCTGAGTTGTTGAAAACAGCTGATTTAAGGGGAATAGGTAGTAAGCTGGGGCCCAAAATTCTCAGCCAGAATGATGCAGAATGCAGTCAGTCCAGGAAAAAGTTTTGGGACCAGCTGCCTGCCATGTAACCTGTCCCCTGAGTAAAGGCCATGCTTAAAGTGAAAGGAACATGCTAGGGCCAATGTGGCACAGAGGTTAAGCCCTCACCTGCAACACTGGCAATCCTTATGGCCACCAGTTTGGGTTCAGGCTGCTCCACTTCCGATCCAGCTCCCTGCTAATGAGCCTAGGAAAGCAGCTCGAAGAGAACCGAGTACTTGGGTCCCTGCCACCCCCATGGGAGAGCCAGCTGCAGTGCCAGGCTCCTGGTTTTGGCCTAGCACAGCTCCAGCTGTCGCCTTTTGGGGAGTGAACCAGAGGATGGAAGACCTCTTTAACTCTGCAATACTTGGCTACATGCTGTGCAAGCCACTGACCCCTAGATCTGGCGGTCTGGGGGTTCCACGGCAGCTAGTGTTGGGGTAACGGAAACGACAGTGGTCTCCTGGCTGGTGCTTCATTGTTCAGCGCCTGCTGCTCCTCAGCCACCCACATCAGTTGCTAATGAGTAAGAAGTCACATGGGTGAAGCCCCCCTCGGGCAGCTTTAGGAATGGCACATGAGTGCAGGAATGGTGGGCTCCCATTTTTAATTTCATGAAATCTAGCTTAGCTAAAGAATTTATATTTTCCCAGTGTGGTCTTAAAGGAAAAACTGGGCAGCACTGAGCCAGTGCCATCTACTTCCATGGGCGTCTGGTGTTCCCGAGGCCCGTACAGACTGAAGTGGGAGTGATGGCCACTGTGCAGGTGCAGACACCAAGGTGATGTGACTCAACAGCAGACTCCACCAGTTCCAACCTACAGGTGTCCTAATGGGGACAACTCAACAGTGCTACTCTGAGAAAATCTCTAAGACAAGGGAAATGCAGCCTACGAGGATGACGTTTGGGGGCAACGTCCAGAGCCAAGCAGGGCTTCAGTCGCGAGGCCCACAGCTCAGGTTTGACCTATGCCAGGTGATCGTTCATTAAGCTGGAGGAGGACCAAGACCTGCCACAGGCCCAGAACAGCAGCAGCCTCCCAGGCAAGCAAGGCTGGAGGGCCACCTTCCTGTATGTTTGTGGTTCACCAGACTCCTGGGCTGGGACCCGCCTGAGTTACATTCTAAAGGGTCATCCCAGACAGAAAGCACTGTCAAGGCAAAAAGCCCCAGCCACATGGCCAAGTGCAGTTTAGGTAAAAATCAGCTCAAATCTAGTGGGAGCGAAACAGTCTCAATTTTTATTTTCTGTCCCTGATTTCTAAGGGAGTGAGTGTTGAGAGTGTACTCCGTCTCCTCAGTCAGCCTTTAGTGTGTCCATCAGGGACAGAAGCCCATGCAAAGGGCCCAGCCCTGGCCCCTGGTGCTGTGAGAAAACCTTCCAAACCCAGGGGAGAAGGGCAGCCAGTGAAGCCCCATCTAGCTCGGGACTCCCGACTTTAGAAGGGGTACAGCGAGTTTTGGGGAAGAAACAGTCTTGCCTGGCTTGCTTCTCTCATAACATTCAAACATGATGAGGGCAGAGGTTGTTCTTTTACCATGAACTCAACACTGAATGAAGGGGCTGGTGCTGTAGCCTAGCAGGTAAGGCCACTGCCTACAGTGCCAGCATCTCATGGGCACCGGTTCAAGCCCTGGCTGCTCCACCTCCGACTGAGCTCTCTGCTATGGCTGGAGAAGCAATGGAAGATGGCCCAAGTCCTTGGGCCCCTGCACCCATGTGGGAGACCTGGAAGAGGCTCCTGGCTCCCGATCAGTGCAGATCTGGCTGTTATCACCATCAGGGGAATGAGCCAGTGGAAGGAAGACCTCTCTGTCTCTTGCTGCCTCTGCCTCTCTGTAACTCTGCCTTTCAAATAAATAAATCTTAAAAAAAAAAAAAAAAAAGGCTGAATGAAGCAATTTCCAGGAGACTAAAAGCTTCGTTAGGTTCTAAAACCATTGCATCGCAAGAGCTGTTCACTCTGTATTTCCCCAGTCAGAAGGGTCCCTGAACTGTGTGCTCAAGAATGAGAGGCTGGCGCCGCGGCTCACTAGGCTAATCCTCCACCTGCAGCGCCGGCACCCTGGGTTCTAGTCCCGGTTGGGATGCTGGATTCTGTCCCGGTTGCTCCTCTTCCAGTCCAGCTCTCTGCTGTGGCCCGGGAGGGCAGTAGAAGATGGCCCAAGTCCTTGGGCCCTGCACCCACATGGGAGACCAGGAGGAAGCACCTGGCTCCTGGCTTTGGATAGGCGCAGCACACTGGCCGTAGCAGCCATTTGGGGGGTGAACCAACAGAAGGAAGACCTTTTTCTCTGTCTCTCTCACTGTCTAACTCTGCCTGTCAAAAAAAAAAAAAAAAAAAAGAATGAGAGCCTGACTAGAAGTGCCAAGGCACAGGGACGCCTAAGGTTGAGTCTGGCAGACCTGGAGAGGGAAGGTAGCACCTAGCACCCTGATGTGCAGGGTAAGGCACTGTCTTCTCAGATGGGCCAGCAGTGCTTCACTAGGTACTGCAGGGCCTCTGGGGTTGGGCAGTGGTCATTAGGATTCCTCCCTGGGCCCTCAGTGGTTCAAGTGGGACCTGGGGAAATTCAGGGTAACCCTTACCTCTGAGAGGGGGAAGAACCAATCAAGCAGGCCACAGACTAGTTTCAGAAAGCAATTTTCTGGGTGTAGCGTGCTAACAGAAGAATGTATCATTATTTATTTGTAACCAAAGCAAGAGAGAGAAGGGGAGAGAGTGGTTCTACCTGCTGATTCACTCCCCAAGTGGCCACAACAGCCAGGTCGAAGCCAAGAGCCAAGAAGTCCACCCTGGTCTCCCTTGTGGGTGGCAGCAGCCATCTTGGGCCGCCTTCCACTGCCTTCTCAGGCACATATGCCACTATGCCACAACACTCTACCCATTTTTTTCAAGATTTATTGATTTATTTTCTGAAGGAGTGACAGATATGGAGAGACAGACAGATCTGCAATCTACTGGTTCGCTCCCCATAGGGCTGCAACAGCCAGGGCTGGGCCAAGCTGAAGCCAGGAATTCCATTCGGGTCTCCTATGGAGGTGGCACAGACTCTAGGACTCAACCCAGCACCATCTATTTCCCAAGCATGTGAGCAGGGAGGTGCATCAGAAGCAGAGTAACAAGGACTTGAACTGCCACTCTTCTGGGATGCAGACACTCCAAGTGGCTCAATCTGTGGTACCGAAACGCCTGCCCCCTTAGTCACTGGTTCCAGTTACTCTTGACCATGGTCCTCCCTGTGCCCTCACTGATCAGGATCCTGCGGCTTGCATGCAGTGCGGGTCCCTGATGGAGGGCATCTCACCTACCGGACAAGGAGTGCTACAGTGCAGACTCTTAGCTTGCTTTGCTACTTTCTATTCCAGAAATATACAGAAGGTGAAATTCTAAAATACTAGTTAATGTCATAGGTAAGAGAGCAACAGAGGTTGCAAAAGACAAGACGTAAAACAAGCACTTTAAGCTTAGGAAACAACGGGAGAAAAAAAAAATCAGAAAAGTTAATCAGACAACTGTGACTAAGGACATTTCAAACAGGAGCTTGGCGAAGTCATACTATCATTTTTTTTGTGCTTTTCTAAATAAAGTTTTATATATTTATTTGCAAGGCAGAGTTATTACAGAGAGGCAGAGGCAGAGAGAGAGAGAGAGGTCTTCCATTCGCTGGTTCATTCCCCAGATGGCCAAAATGGCTGGAGATGCACTGATCTGAAGCCAGGAGCTTCTTCTGGGTCTCCCATGTGGGTGCAGGGGCCCAAGGACTTGGGCCATCCTCTACTGCTTTCCCAGGCCATAGCAGGGAGCTGGATGGGAAGTGGAACAGCTGAGACTCAAACCGACACCCATATGGGATGCAGCATGGTAGGCCGCATCTGTACCCACAGCTGTACCCACTACACCACAGCGCCGGCCCCTAGTGTGCTTTCAATCCCGCTGAGTGCCCAGCCTGGCCGCGTCTCCCACATGACGTTGTCTCTCCCTGACCCATCTCAGCCACATTCGATGCCAAGAGCTGCGGGACCTGGGCGGGTGCCGCCCCTGACAGAGAGCGATCCCGGGTGTTCCTGCTGCCCCAACTGCTCTTTAAGGAAACATCAGGTGGCTTGGCTAAGCTCACCCGGAAGTCCCACGCTGCTGCCCTTCTATGCGAAGGACGTGTTTCAGTCCTTCAGGCTGAAACAAGCACGATTTCTCCCTCGAGAGGCAGCGGTCGGCGTCTCAGGAGACAGTGGATTCAGCACCGAGAGGCAGACTCCCCGTGAGAAGAGAACTGATTGCAGGCCTCGTGGCCGGAGACATGGTGTTGGGCCAGAAAGGGGCGGGGAAGGGAAGGCTGGCACCTTGGGGGCCACCGGGAGGTCAAGTTCCCTTTCCTGAGCCCTGCCTGGGACCCTGAGCCCTGGAGGCCCCTGTCTCGATCTGAGGGTCCGAGGGTCGCAGGGCCTGGTCCCTTCCTCATAGACTAGTCCCAAAGCTCACTGCCCCTCCATCCAGTGTCTGGGCTGGTCCTCTGCTCAGCAGCCGCCTACAGGGCACAGGCACACGAGGGTCGAGGTCTGAGGCCTCTGGCACAGCAGGGAGGTCCCAGTCCACAGAGCTGTCAGTGTCCTATCCAACATCTCCTGCGTCGTTAAGGGAGAACACGACCCCATTCCCCTGAGGGCCATGCACCTGACCTCATGGGGTATGGGATCCACCGTCTCTGCAGTCTAACAGCTGCAGGTGGAGCCGGGCAGGACGTCCACGCTGCTGTGTGCCCGGCCTGCCCAAGGTGAGGCCCAAATGCAACAGAGGACACAGGCAGGACGAGGACCTGGTTTTAGTTCAGGATGCCCCTGGCAGCACCCAGGTCTTCCAAGTTCCCAGGGAACGGAAAGAAAGGCTTGAGACCTACTGGAGAGGACAGGACCCTCTGCCCCACCTGGGGACACTGGAGGATGGGACCTCCCCCACCCCGGTCTTCCTCACTTCCACATTTCTGGGGCAGGTAGACTGTGTTTAGTGAAGGAGCTTTCTTCCAGATCTGAGGTTACATGGATGCTCCATGCACAGAACTGGGCTGCGTGGGCTCCAGCAGGTGCTCACGTCACACATGCAGTGCCTCTGGAAAGTTCCATGGGGAAGTGACTCAGAGAGTTATCAAGGTCACCCCAATGAGTGTTACCTGGGTCCCACCATCAGACGTCCCGTGGGAACCCCAGGTCCTGCCGGCGAGTGTGCATCTTCCCCAGGGTCCACTGCACAATGACAATGGCCCAGGGACCAGGCCCTGTCAGGGGTCACAGAGGTGGCCTGGGCGAGGCCCCCAGGAGGCTCAGGTTGCTGACTGCACTGCTGAGCTCCTGACTGGGCCCTATGCAATGTCTGCGGCCTCTCCATGCTGGCATTTCAGCTTTGAGAGCTATGGAAGGAGCAGTCCCTCTGGGAGGCTTGGCCTGGCTCCCAGCCTTAGGCTTGTCTCCAGCCTGGAATCAGGAGGGCAATGGGTAACAACAACAGCATAGCAGAGGGCTGGTGGGCTGGTGGGCTGGCGGGCAGGGGGCTTGTGAATTAGGACAGGGCCCAGGGTCCTGGTGACCTGGATTCCCACGGGAGGCATGAGGCTGTGGTTGGGGAAGGGTCTCGTGGCATCCACCATCCCAGGCTTTCCTGTGCAGGGACCAAAGTGGTCATGGGCAGGGATGTCTCAGGGCCTCCCGGTCAGCTGAGATTGTCCTTGACCCTGATAGCAGGGCTGGGCCAGGCTGGCAGGCCTGTTGCCCTGTGTGGCCCCAGTGTGGTTTAGCTTGATGCCCATCAGTGAGGACACCCAGCACTGCTGGCCTTCAAATCCCTGCCAGGCTCCATCTGTTTCGGGGTGGGACTCGGCTCCTGCTGTGACAGCTGGGACCTTCCCCGCCTGCACTTGGAGCCGTCGTGTTTGGTGTTTGCCGCAGACACTGGGCCACCTCTGGGGCTCTGCCAGTGCTCTTTCCTCCCTGGGCTGCCCACAGGCCAGCTTCACCAAGGCAGAAGCCGCGAGCTCCATCTGGGTCTGGCAGGTGGGTGTCAGGGACCCAGGCCCTGGACCCAGTCAGGCAAGGCAAAGACGAGGACATCCATTACAATGCCAGCTCCCATGTGGGAATCTCACAGAGTGGGATTTCTTAAAGTCTCTGGCGGGGCAGCGTTGTGACACAGCTGTCAGTGCCACCGCCTGGGACACCGCATCCCACACAGGTGCAGCTTTAGGCCTGGCTGCTCCACTTCTGATCCTGCTCCCTGCTCACGTGCTGGGAACGCAGCAGAAGATGGCCCAAGTGTTAGTGCCGCTGAGGAGTCCTCGGCCACGCTCGCAGCCCTGGGACACAGGACTGCAGGGCAGAGGGACAGGGACACAGCACAGCCAGACCTGCTGTCCTCAGGGATCCTTACCACAGCCCAGTGGGGGCCAGGCACCCTGATCAGAGCACGTGTGTGTGTGTGCGTGTCTGCGTACACCGTGCATCATGTCTGTGCCTGTGTGCGTGTGCATGTGTGTGTGCGTGTGCATCACGTGTGTCTGTGTCTGTGTGCCTGTGCGTATCACTCATCATGTCTGTGCCTGTGTGCATGTGTGCATGTGCATTATGTGTATCTGTGTATGTGTGTCTGTGTGTGTGTGTGTGTGGGTATCGCTCATCATGTTCGTGCCTGTGCGTGCGTGCATCATGTGTGTCCATGTGTGTGAATGTGTATCATTCATTATGTCTGTGCATGCGTGTGTGCATCATGTGTATGTGCGTGTGCATCATGTGTGCGTATCACTCATCATGTCTGTGCCTGTGTGCATGTGTGCGTGTGCATCATGTGTATCTGTGTGTGTGTGTCTGTGGGTATCGCTCATCATGTTCGTGCCTGTGCGTGCATACATGTGTATGTGTGTGCATGTGCATCATGTGTGTTTGTGGGTATTGCATTTTTTTTTAAGATGTATTCTATTTGTGTGAGAGTGAAGAGGGGAAAGAGAGTGCAAGTGAGTGAGAGTGAGAGAGAGAGAGAGAGGGAGAGAAGGAGGAAGCTCCTCCAAGCTCTGATACACCCCATAAATGACCTCCAGGACTAGGCCAGGCTGAAGCCAGGAGCCAGGAATTTTGGTTGTTGTTGTGACAGGAGCCCAAAACCCCAAGTGCCAGGCAGAGCCTTGATTCCTCCCTACCAGGCGGAGGACAGTCTCGGAGGATGTAGCATGGACCCCACTACCTTCTGGGCTTCCAGGGTTTCTGCCGAGAAATCTGACCATGACTTAGGGGGAAAGGGTGACAAAGCCACCTTCCTCTCAGCTCTGGAGATGCGGACAGTGTACCTGGCGGTGTCTTGGGCAACAGAACACGTGTTGAGTTTACCGAGGCCAGAGAATTTGTTCCATCATCACTCAGAGACCCATCACTCAGAGGGTAAAGGCAAAGGAGGGGATATACCAAGTGGAGACACTAGGAGGTCTTCGAAAGATACAACTTATCATCATATTTAAACTAGAGATTGGCTGGCGCCGCAGCTCACTAGGCTAATCCTCCGCCTTGTGGCGCCGGCACACGGGGTTCTAGTCCCGGTCGGGGCGCCGGATTCTGTCCCGGTTGCCCCTCTTCCAGGCCAGCTCTCTGCTGTGGCCAGGGAGTGCAGTGGAGGATGGCCCAGGTGCTTGGGCCCTGCACTGCATGGGAGACCAGGAGAAGCACCTGGCTCCTGGCTTTGGATCAGCGCGCTGCGCCGGCCGCAGCGGCCATTGGAGGGTGAACCAATGGCAAAGGAAGACCTTTCTCTCTCTCTCTCTCACTGTCCACTCTGCCTGTCAAAAAAAAACAAAAAACAAAAAAAAAACAAAAAAAAACACCACTAGAAATTGAAGGCCACCGAGCAATCTACAGGCTGGAGTTTCTCAAAAGTTAAGTATCAATCCCTATCACCAACCTAGGCCAAAATCTCTTTGGGTACCGTTTTTATTCAATTGGAAGATTCTGGAGAAAGCCACTCTGGATGAACTACAGCTCCCATTGGTCAATTTCTTGCTCTGACTTCATAATGCCTCACTGTTATTAAAGTTGTATTATTACAGAGTCCCTGGCTGGCCTGGGATTGGTCCATTTCTCACTCTAACTTCATAAGGCGCCACTATGTGAGGTGAGCGCCCAAAAAGTATATATAGCGGCTGCCGGGGCCTGGGTTTTCGGCTGCCTTACCCAGAGAGCACTCTTATGTGATCTGTGTAACTAGGACCCATCTAACCAGCCTTTGCGCTCGTTGGTGTTGCTTGTGCTTTTTCTTGGTTGTTGGTTTCTGGGTGTGTTTGGTTTTTGCTTTTTCCCGTTTTGTTTAGTTTGTTGTTTTCCTCCTCGTTGTTGTTTTGCCCATTTGGCCTTTGTTTGCAGTTTTCTTTATTTTTGCTTCCCCTACTCTAGTCAGCTAGCACGCTCAGAAGTATCAGCATTCGAGGATTTAGTGGCTTTTCCTCTTTGTTGTTTTCTGCTTTATTGAGATAGTCTTGCGGCTTCGCCTCTAGCGTAGTGAGAGTAGCTGGTGCTGTGTCTTAGTCAGCTGGGCAGTCAGGCCCCCGTGGTCCCTTTGTGTTGTAGGCAGTGCAGTGAGGGTCGGTGATTAGCTAGCGTGTGTCGAGCGAGTTAGGGAGTCGAGAGAGCGTAGTTAGGTGACCGGAGGCATGGAAGGCCCCTTGGACGTCCATCCTCCTCTGGACGGGTACCGCTTCATGTATGCGATCGGCCGGGGCGGCTTCGGCCTGGTGAAGCTGGCATGGCACCTGGCGTCAGGCAAGTACGTGGCAGTGAAGATCCTCCTGCAAGACGCCTCTCCCAGCAGCTCGCTGTCCGCGCAGGGGGAAGTGGTCATCCTGAGGAGCCTGCGGCACGACAACATCGTGCGGCTGCTGGAGGAGCGGCACACGGAGACGCACCTGTTCCTGGTCATGGAGCTGGCGGCCAGGGGCTCGCTCTATCACTACGTGCAGGAGCAGGGCGGCCTGGCCGAGGACGAGGCCAGGGCCCTGTTCAGCCAGGCGCTGGCTGCTGTGAGCTACTGCCATGGTCAGCGCGTGGCACACCGGGACCTCAAGCTGGACAACCTGCTGCTGGACGAGCACATGAACATCAAGCTGGCGGACTTCAGGCTGAGCCTGCGGCTGGAGCAGGGCACGCTGGTAAGGGACGCCTGCGGGACCCCCGAGTACTGCGCACCAGAGGTTTTCCTCGGGGAGGCCTACGACGCATTAAAGGCCGACGTGTGGAGTCTGGGGGTGGTGCTGTTTGCCATGCTGGAGGCCACGCTGCCCTTCGGCGGCAAAGACTCGGAAGAGCTGCAGGACCGGGTGCTGTGCGGCACCTACGTGGTGCCACGTGGCATCAGCCCAGCCCTGCAGGAGCTGCTGGCGTGGCTGCTCACCATCGATGCCTCGGGGAGGCCCAGTGCGGAGGACGCCAGGACCCACTCGTGGTTCAGCCCTGGCCGAGAAGCAGCCCAGGAGCACGAGGAGGGTGCGGTCACCCTGCTGCAGCCCCTGGGCATTCCCCGGGACCTGGAGGCCAGGGAGTACCTGGTGGGCCTCGGCCTGCTGCCAGGCACGGGGACCGAGGGGACGCCAGGCCCTCAGTCCCAGGACTCCACGTCCCTGCCCAAGTCCTCGCAGAACAGCAAGTGCCCCCCCCATAGAGGACGACGGCTTGGCTCTGGTGTCAGTGTCCTGTGACAGCATGGCCGTCAACGTTTCCTCCGCACAAAGCGACTCCTCCGAGGCCCCCAGTGAGTCTTGCCCTCTCCCTGCCTCAGGCCCTCCAAGAGCTGAGCCCAAGGCTCCGAGGTGACCCCACTTTTGACTCTCCCCTACCAGGCCAGCCACAGCAGGAGAGGAGCCCTGCTCCCAGCGCCACCCCCGACTCTTCGAGCCCTCCAGTGAGTCTTGCCCACTCCCCACATCCCCTGCCACTTTGGGGCCTCCAGGAGCTGAGCCCAAGGCCCCGAGGTGACCCCACTCTTGACTCTTTCCTACCAGGCCAGCCACAGCAGGAGAGGAGCCCTGCTCCCAGTGCTGCCCCTGACTCCCCCAAAGTCTCCAGTGAGTCTTCCCCTCTCCCTCCCAGCCCCAGCCACCTCGGGCACTCTTGGGGCTGAGCCCTAGGCCCCCTTGGTCACCCCACTCTTGACTCTCTCCTACCAGGACAGCCACAGCAGGAGAGGAGCCCTGCTCCCAGCGCCGCCCCCGACTCCCCCAAAGTCTCCAGTGAGTCTTGCCCACTCCCCTCATCCCCTGCCTCTTTGGGGCCTCCAGGAGCTGAGCCCAAGGCCCCCGAGGTGACCCCACTCTTGACTTTCTCCTACCAGGCCAGCCACAGCAGGAGAGGAGCCCTGCTCCCAGCACCGCCCCCAAGCCAGCCTCCAAGGTGTCGCCCTCCAGCCCCAGTGCCAGGAGCCGTGTGGACCTCGCAGAGCCAGAAGCCGCCGCAGCTGCCCGTGAGCCTGAGGGGGCTGGGACCGCAGCCACCACTGACACCACAGACTCCACAGCCAGCACCCAGGGCAAGAGGCAGGGCCAGCGCGGGGTTGGCAGGAGGATCCTCCGGTTCCTGCTGAGGGCGTGCTGCATCCTGCCGTCCCGAGGGAGCAGCCCTGGTCACTGCTGCCGCAGAGTGGCCCCCAAGTAGCCTCGCTCCGCCCCCATCACCAGGAGCAATGCGCAGGCTGAGCTGACCAAACGTTTTTCTTTGCTTGAGCTTGGGGAAGTCATACTATAATTTAAATTTGCTTTATTACTCTACTTTGGGGCTTTATATACATAAAATGAAATCTATGAGATACCTGTTGAAAATGCATTTTAAAGTGACTTTCTTATTTCTTAATTTGATCTTTTAAGCCTTGCAATTAACTTTGTCCAAATAATAATGGAAAAAGCTAGGCTGCACGTGAGGAAGAAACGATGCTGAGGTCGCTAAGCTCTGTGCTTGGCCTCTGGCCTTTGCTATCTTCAGCCTTGCGGCAGCTCCTCTGTTGCTTCTGTGACCCCATTTTCCAGGTAGGAAAGGCTTGTCCCGGTTACACGGTTACACACAGAGATCCTGCCCGCCTCAATCAGGCCATCCAGGGGTCGCTCCAGAGACTGGCACTAGAAGCTGCCCAAAGCTGTGGCCCACCCACGGCATGCTGCTGGCAAGAGTCTTGTCCCGCCGGCGCTCCCCCAGCCCTGCCAGCTCTCCTGCAGACTAAGCTGGCAAGGCCTAGCGTCTCGCTCACCACTATCGCCAGGACTGCACACAGAGCCTGCCACTGCTGTGAGAATCCTGCACTGTTGTCACTGCTGCCCCCAGATGAAGGCCCTTCCCCGGGATTCATGCCTGGAGCATAATTATGACTTAATAGCGAAGAGAGAAGAATGGAATAAATACATTAAAAAGGGAATATTCACAAATTTTACAGCCAACCAGGACGGCACTCAAGTATTTGTTAAGTACATGCAAGGCAGTTCCTCATGCTGAAACCTAAGCCTCAGGGAAAAAGAGCGGGCTACCCGGGACGGCCTGAGCCCTGTGGAGCCCACACAGGCTGCTGCACAGGCGGGAACCTGACCGAGCCCCTTGCAATAAGGGCGGGCTGTTCTGTAGACTGCCTCTTCCCTTAACTGGAGGGTTCCTCAGGCCTAGGGTTTGATTCTCAATTCCTAAAAAAACACTAGTGTGAGTGCCAGTGAGGGGTAGGTAGGTACAGGATAAAGCTCAGGTTGATGTGAGGGAATCAAGGATCCGCTTTGCATGAGTGTGAAAAAAGCCATAAAACAGAACCATGCTTACAGGTACACTGTGGAAAAATCCAAATTATAAAATCATTACCTGCCATTATTACATTAATATATTTTAAAAGAGCATTTTAAACAAAAAGTTTGGCATTTATAAAACAACAGGAAAGAGGGCTCGTACAATGTTGTTGAATTCACCTCAGACGGCATGATCTATAAATACATAAATATCCATGCACACTGTTACAGTGACAGCTACTCAAAGGGTGAGGACTTGGAAAAAGCCAGCTGAGACAGGTTCCCTGTCATTCCACCTGCCTCTTTCTGTTGGCAGTCCCAGCAGTCTCCAGAGCTCTGTGGTCAGTGTCACACTTGTCCCAGCCTCCTTTGTAAGCCTGCAGCTCATGATGACACGATGTTAACCTTCCGTCTTAGCTTTGATGCTAGGGGGATAAAAAAGAAAGGGTTATGCAGGCACGTAGTCCAGGGAATCTAATTCATCTTCATAAAGGTAAGACGTAGCAGAGATGCAACATTTATTTAGGTACTACCCAGACAGAGAGCATACTTAGACACCATTAACATTTTACTACAGATGAGCAGGTTCGGCAAAGCAGTGACCACACCATCCATTTGGAAGCCAGTGCTTCACTTTCTTGTTGCTTACAATCAATAAATGCTCAAAATCTAAAGTGGTAACGGAAATAACTAAACTCACTACAGTGAGTGCTCTAAAGGCAGAATCACACAAACGCTTGTTGTTCTAAATGAGCAGCATTCGATTCAGGTAGTAATTCACAGCGCTGCACAGGGAGTCGGGCTATTTAGGGGATGTGAAGGTGAGGCATTTCTGGATTCACACTATTAGAAGCTGTAAAGCCTATCTTCACAGAGTGGGCAACTTCAGCGGCTTCTGAGGACTGTAGCACCTTTGCTGAATTTAAACTTGGCTTCAGACAACTTTAAAGTAGGGTGTGAAGAAATCACTTTGGCTGTCACCTTGTATTTGAATGGATTTCCTTAACATTTAGCAGTATGAGTGAATCAGTCTTTTTAGTAATCAGAAATTTCAAGGTTTGACCTATTTCCCAGCTGAGCAGTCAGTCCTGAAGAGATGGGGAGGAGGAAAAAAAAGGCCTCAGCGAAAAAAGCCAACTGCAGGACGTGCTTCTCCTCTGAGGAGAAGGCAGTGTCTCCAAGGCAGCCGCTCACGCCCAGAGCAGAGAGGCACCTAAGCCACCTCTCGGGTCTCGGGTCGGCCAGACCAGCAGCGCACCAGCACTGCAGCTGCCGGGGGCTTGGCTGTTACTGGTGCTGCCCTATGGGGCTGGACCCAACTTTTCTGGCTTTACTTCTGGTGGATAAAGAGACAAAGATAGCTCCACTGAGCATGTACCATGGGACCCAAGCCCTCTGGTAACTCAACAACAGGTTTAATCTTTTCAAACACACAACCATACTGGCCACCTTGCAACACTGCAACTGCTGCACCCCAGAGAGTAGCAGGAATTGCACCAGGGGGTCACCCACACAGACACAATGCACAGGGCCCCTTGAGAAGCAGGACACATGGGGTCACCCACACAGACACATGCACAGGGCCCCTCGAGAAGCAGGCACAGGTGGGGTCACCCACACAGACACAATGCACAGGGCCCCTCGAGATGCAGATACATGTGGGGGTCACTCACACAGACACATGCACAGGGTCCCTCGAGAAGCAGGCACAGGTGGGGTCACTCACACAGACACATGCACAGGGCCCCTCGAGAAGCAGGCACAGGTGGGGTCACTCACACAGACACATGCACAGGGCCCCTCGAGATGCAGGCACACGTGGGGTCACTCACACAGACACATGCACAGGGCCCCTCGAGATGCAGGCACACGTGGGGTCACTCACACAGACACATGCACAGGGTCCCTCGAGATGCAGGACACATGGGGTCACTCACACAGACACATGCACAGGGCCCCTCGAGAAGCAGGCACAGGTGGGGTCACTCACACAGACATGATGCACACCTTTTCTAACATTCACTTTTCATACACAGCCACTTTCCAAATAAGCTTTTCTTCTTGGGATAAGAGTGTTCACAGGAAAAATGGACCACGTAATTTAGTTGACAGCTTCTTTCTCTGAGCCACTCATGTCAGCTTCCTAGTCACTTACTCCTCTTTCTCCTTGATTAAGACATTACCTTGGAAATATTAACTCTGACAGTCAGCAATGACACCCTTCCTGAGCCTGCTGCCGCTGTCTGTTAATTATCATTCGTTAATGGGTAAGTGGGGCACCCACAAAGGCTGCTGGCAGGCTTCCAGGGATGCTAATTAGAGATCTGAGATTGTTTGGGTTTGAAGCCGCCTCTTTCAAAAGAAAACAGTATCGGGGCCAGTGCCGTGGCACAGCAGGTTAAAGCCTTGGCCTGAAGTGCCAGCATCCCATATGGGTGCCGGTTCGAGTCCCAGCTGCTCCACTTCCGATCCAGCTCTCTGCTATGGCCTGGGAAAGCAGCAGAAGATGGCCCAAGTCCTCAGGCCCCTGTACCCACGTGGAAGACCCGGAAGAAGCTCCAGGCTCCTGGCTTCAGATCAGCGCAGCTCCAGCTGTTGCAGTCATCTGAGGAGTGAACCAGCAGATGGAAGACCTCTCTGTCTCTACCTCTCTGTAACTCTTTCAAATAAATAAAATAATTCTTTAAAAAAGAAAACAGTATCATACACTGCAACTTTTGGACAAATCCCACCTGTCAGAGACCAACTCTCATTTCTTTTCTCAGACTTCCCCCCAAAAAAGTCAGACACACAGAAGAGATGTTCTTGCCTTAAAACTGCAGAACAGTCATCATGTATCTGCATAATTTTACTTCTTGAGTTTATGTCTCTAAGTCATCACTGTCGGGTTCTGAGATGCCAGAGATTAATTTCCACTTGCCAGCTAGCTTTAAAACCCAACTCAACTCTAATTATAGAGCTGAAGATCAATTTCAGGAGTAACAATAGATGTTTGCAGGTGCACAGCTTGACATAAGGGATTTCTCTGCTCTCAGTCTTGGCAGTATGGCCCAATGCTTCCCAGCCTCCACTACACACGCAAACGACAGGCCAGGAATAAATGTGGCCACAAAATCCAGTGGCTCCTCCCAGTGTGTTCTCAAGGTGACCGTCACCAGACAGGCACAGCGTCCATCACCATACAAATCTGCTGTGGCTCACAGGCCAGAGGACTTGCTCTCAGGATGGGCTTATCTAAAAGACTTAACAACTGGCAAAGCTCAGTGTAGGAGCAGCCGAGTATCATTTTGGTGGCATCAACAGTCTAAAATTAAACTTAGTTACTAAGAAAATGTAAGTTTTATTTGAAGCAAGTTGCAACATGCATAATTCAAAAATGCTACAGAAATGTGGCCTCTGCAGGCTTCAGCAGGTCCTAACTGCAAATGACTGACTACGTGATGGCGGTGCTGCTTCCAGGATGCTCAGATCGCGCCAGGAGCCCTCTGGAGACACTGTGTGCAGGACACTGTCAAGAATACACATCCTGGGGCTGGCACTGTGGTGCAGCGGGCAAAGCTGCCACCTGCAGTGCCGGCAGCCCATGTGGGCGCCAGTTCAAGTCCCAGCTGCTCCACTTCCAATCCAGCTCCCTGCTAATGTCATGAGAAAGCAGCAGAGGACGGCCCAAGGACTTCGGCCCTTGTATCCATGTGAGACACCAGGAAGAAGCTCCTGGCTCCTGGTTTCCACCTTGCCCAGTCCTAGCAGTTGCAGCCATTTGGGGAATGAACCAGCAGATGGAAGATCTCTCTCTCTTTCTGTCTCTTCCTGTATCTCTGTAACTCTGCCTTCAAATAAATAAAGTAAATCTTTAAAGAATATACACATCTCAGGCCAGAGATCTGTACATTTTGAGGGACAAGACCCTTTTATGATGTTTAACAGTTCAGACAGACCCTTACACACCTACCCACGCACACTCCACACTGGTCTAAGGACAATGTTTGGAACATACATCACCTCTTGGGGTTTGCACCCAAACTTCATGAAATATTCTGATCTTTCAGCAGCTCTGCATGACTGGACAGAGTCTAGTTCTACCTTTCAGAAAACACAGGACAGAGAACCATAAAGGACAACTGATAAAACAGGAGCAAACCCAAGAAGGGAGAAAACCTCTTAGGGACAAAAAGCAAGGGAAAAATACTGTCCCACAGCTGCTGGCACATGAAGGTACACCCTGTTCCCTGCCTGCTCTGCCCTGCCAGGGGCTCTCCAGTAGCCACTGCCCCCACCCCGCCCCCCTGCCAGCTGGGCCCCAAGAACTGCACCACTATGGGACAGGGACTACCCAGCAATTTTTTTTTTTTTTTTTTTGGTCAGGCAGAGTGGACAGTGAGAGAGAGAGATAGAGAGAAAGGTCTTCCTTTTGCCGTTGGTTCACCCTCCAATGGCTGCCGCGGCTGGCGCGCTGCGGCCGGCGTACCGTGCTGATCTGATGGCAGGAGCCAGGTGCTTTTCCTGGTCTCCCATGGGGTGCAGGGCCCAAGCACTTGGGCCATCCTCCACTGCACTCCCTGGCCACAGCAGAGAGCTGGCCTGGAAGAGGGGCAACCGGGACAGAATCCGGCGCCCCGACCGGGTGTAGAAACCGGTGTGCCGGCGCCACAAGGCAGAGGATTAGCCTAGTGAGCCGTGGCGCCGGCCCCAGCAATTGTTAAACATCATGGCCACTGTCATGGATCCCAAAAATCAAATTCCCAATTCACACAGCTGCATGGGTAAAAACAGTAGCTTCCTGCTAACAGCTGATTTTAAAAGCAAAACAGAAGCTTGAACATCAACCCGAAGCTTCTGACTCCAAGTTCAAGTTAAAAACTAAAAGAGGACAGAGTTGTGGCACAGGGGGTTAAAGCCACCACTTGGAACACTAATGTCCCAAATCGGAATGCTGGTTTAAGTCCCCACTGCTCTGGTTCCAGCCCAGCTCCTTGCTACATGCATCTGGGAAAGCAGCAGAAGATGGTCCAAGTACTTGGGCCCCAGCCACCCTGTAGGAGGCCCAGATGGAGCTGCTTCTGGCTTGAGCCTGGCCCAGCCCCAGCTGTTGTGGATATCTGAGGCGTGAACCACAGGATGGAAGATCTCTCTTGTTAGCTTTTCAAATCAATTTATTAAAAACAAACAAAAGGAATCTTTTTTTAAGAAACACCTTCTGGGGGCCAGTGCTGTGGGAGTAGCAGGTAAAGCTGGCACCTGCAGTGTCAGGATCCAACATGGGTACCGGATCGAGTCCTGGCTGCTCCACTTCCAATCCGGCTCTCTGCTATAGCCTGGGAAAGCAGTGGAGGATGGTCCAAGTCTTTGGGCTCCTGCACCCTTGTGGGACACCCAGGGGAAGCTCCTGGCTCTTGGCTCCGGATCGGCACAGCTCCAGTGAATGCAAGACATCTGTCTGTCTGTCTCTGCCTCTCCATCTCTCTCTGTAACTCTGACTTTCAAATAAATAAATATATCTTAAAAAAAAAAAAAAAAAAAAGAAAGAAACACCATCTGAAACCCACCGGGGTATATACTGGTTTGCAAATCAAATATTTTCTGGGCAGCTGAGAATTTAATTTCTTGAACTCATCAAAAGGAGATTGCTATATACCCTGCCTTCCCAAACAAGCTCCCACGGAGGTGAAAGGGCTTACCCAGGCCTCAGAGGTTAGAACTACAAAGGGGCCCCAGCTTCTGCCATTTGATCAGTTTTGTGGAAATTTTCTGCTCTACAGTGTGCCTTTTGAAGTTATAAGAACTATAAGGTTTGAAGTTATAAGGACTAAAACTCAAGGCACCACCCACGTCACAGTCCGCTCTCAAACAGACCTGACTCAAGTGCCCAAGGAACTCTGGGAGCTATGGGAGCAACTTCCTGTGTCACCCAGGGAAGCACATCTGGAGAGGGGTGCTGAAACGTAGCCAGGATGCCAGCCCCAAATGAGGCTCTCTCTGCCTCACTCTGCACAGGCCCAGCCCCGAGGCAAGCTCCGGGCAGAGTCCACACCTCACACAGCCTAGGCGGACAACAGCTCCAGCACTGGGGCGCGGCTCCAGCCACACTATGGTTTTTTTTTTTTAAAGATTTATTTATTTATTTGGAGGGCAAAGTGAGGGGGGGGGGAGGGAGGGAGGGAGAGAGGGAGGGAGGAGGGAGGTCTTCCATCCACTGGTTCACTCCCCAGATGACCACAACAGCCAGAGCTCTGCCAATCCGAAGCTAGGAGCCAGGAGCTTCTTCTGGGTCTCCCACAGGTTGTAGGGGCCCAAGGACTTGGGCCATCTTCTACTGCTTTCCCAGGCCACAGCAGAGAGCTGGATCGGAAGTGGAGCAGCCAGGACCAGAACCAGCGCCCATATGGGATGCCAGCACTTCAGGTGGCGGCTTTACCTGCTACACCACAGTGCCAGCCCCTCCAGCCACGTTCTTCTCAGCACATCAGATGTCTCAGAGGCCAAATCTGGTCCCGCCCTCACCCGCTGAGCTAACGAATTATTCTGTTACCAACTGTGGCACATTAGTCAACATGTTCTTGAAGCTCAAGCAAAATACTCAAAACAATGTTCCTAGACAAACTGAAGAGTGTTCACGTGCTGCTTCACCACCAGTGTGTAATTTTCCTTACTGAGTTACTACCTGATTATGAAAAGTTTACAAATTACAGGAAAATCTAAATGAAAGGCCTCATCTTCAGGGCAGTAAACAATCACGTTGCGATGCAGCAGGTTAGGCCGCCGCTGGTGACCCTGGCACCCGCATCGTATCAGAGTCAATGCACATCACAGCCGCTCCCCTTCCCATCCAGCTCCCTGCTAATGCGCCTGGGACAGCAGTGGAGGTGGCCCAAGTATTTGGGTCCCAGCCACCCACGTGAGAGACCTGGATGGAGCTCTAGGCTCCTGGCTTTGGTCTGGCCCAGCCCTGGCTATTGCAGACAAAAGGAGAGTGTGCCAGCACAAAGAAGATATCTTCCTCCCTCTCTGTTGCTCTTTCAAATAAAAATAACTAAATATTGGGAAAAAATCATATGCTCTGTTACAGACCATGAACTACACCATTTTGTCAAATACACTTGGAAATGGTATTTACCTTTTTCATTAATTCACTTCTGGTAGTGAACTGTGGCAGGTCTTCCACTTCAATCCCATCAGCCATTCCCATCACCTTGTCTAAAAGGTCTTTATTGTAGCTGCATAATAAAAAGGAATAAGGTAAAAACCTGGGAAGCCTGACTTGTCCTGTGGGCATCAGGAGACTGACAGGAAACTGTTGGGGAAACCGACACAGTGCAGCCCTGGGATGGGCCCTTCCCGCTCCCGGATACAAGGCCAACGATGGAGCGGGCGTTTGCAGATTCACAGCAGTGGCACGCATATCTAGCAGTACACGTGCCATGCTGCTTTAACGCAAACAGCATGTGTCCGACCTTGCACCCCGTGGACCACGACGGCCCAGGGGCTTCCAAAAACTAGAGAAGGGATGGGGGTGCCTGGCTTGCTCCCCCACATTATTCTAACAAAACCCAGCTTAGGAAGCAAAACCAAGTGGCTCCGGCCTGGAGAGGCCAGGTGACCAGTGAGACAGCCGTAACAGCCACAGAACCAGGAACGCTGTTAGAAACTGTCCAGTAAAAGGGTTCGGGGGACTCCCGCTTTGCCGCCTTATCAGGCACTCAGCGGCAGGCTCCGCAGGCATCCTCAGGACGCAGTGGGCTGCGGGGATCTTGGCGGAAAGACAGTGAGGTTCTCACTGGCCCCAGCTGAGGATTCGGCAGGCTGGGGAGTGCGGAGTAAAAGCTAAGGACCACCGTCCGCGGGCGAGGCCTGAAGCGGCAGGGCCCTCCCAAAGCCGTCTCACCTGTAAAACCCAAGAGTCCAAGAAGCTAGCAGGTTACAAATGCACTTTGCAACGGGGGTCGTTTAGCTAATGACAGCAGGAACAGGAATAGCAGCTCAACCTTCCAGCCCACCTTCCACTGAGCTCATCAACCTTGAATTACTGGAGTCACCACAACCACCCGTTTACCAAGCGAGGAACCGAGGCCCAGAGATGTCACAGTGTGTCCGGGGGTGGTCAGGCCAGGCCCGGCTGCGGCGCGGGCGAGCGGCCGGGGGCAGGGATCCGCACCTGCAGCCCAGGAAGAGGTGGTTGGCCCACACCATGGACAGAGACAGCAGCTGGTCCAGGCGGCCGCCGCCGTCGGGCGGGTCGCGGTAGTCGGGCAGGTGGCGCAGGATGAATTCCATGCGGGCTTTCCATTGCTTCTCGCTCTCGGAGTAGGAGCGGAACTGCTCCGCGAAGTCGGCCGCCTGCCGCACGCCGGACACCAGCTCCTCCACCGCGGCGGCAGCCTCGCCACCTACCATGGCGCCCGCGACGCCGAGGGCTGGAGCAGCCCGCCGCCTTCCCGAGGTGCACCGCGCTCCTGCCCGCCGGCTAGAGCGGCCCCGGCGGCGCGCGACTGCTCCGGAGGTCCGGCCTGGAGCGCCCTCGCCGGGCCCGGCGGCCCGCGCGGGTTGCGACTGCCGCGTGCGGTTTCCAAACCCCGCGACCGGAGAGTCCGCCCCGCCGGGGTCCCCGGTTTGCGGTGAACCCCGCGGGCAGCCGGTGGGAAACCTGAGCCCGCCACCGCCCCCAGCACAGTCGGCACACCGATGCTAGCCGGAGCCAGGCCGTGTCCTCTGGAGGCAAGGCGTCCCCAGGCACCGCCCCATCCCGAGCGAAGCGGACGCCTTCCGTTCTGGGGGCTTAGACGTGTAGCTCTGGTCGGTTCCCGGGGGTCTCCACGCCCCACGCGGGTGGGGGCCCAGCTGTGTGCCCACAGAAACCCGTTCGGACATGCGTCATGCTGTAAGGACCCCAAAGTGCACCAACAGGTCCTCCTCCTTCTGGCGTGGAGCGGTGAGACGCTTATTTCCCTGCGTGAGGGAACTCAAGGCGCACCTCAGGCGCGCACGGCCGAGACGGGGCTCCACGGCAAGCTTCCTGTGTTTCCTTAGCGTGGGGTATTCTGGTTTTTGTTTTTTAATTAATTAATTTATTTGAAAGGCAGAGTTACAGAGAGGCAGAGAGAGAGGTCTTCCATCCACTGGTTTACTCCCCACATCGCTACAACGGCCAGAGCTGGGCCAACCGGAAGCCAGGAGCCAGAAGCTTCCTCCGGGTCTCCCACGCGGGTGCAGGGGCCCAAGGACCTGGTCCATCTTCTACTGCTTTCCCAGGCCATAGCAGAGAGCTGGATCAGAAGTGGAGCAGCCAGGTCTCGAACCAGTGCCCAAAGGGAATGCCAGCACTGCAGGTGGTGGCTTTACCTAGTATACCACAGCACCTGCACCAGCGTGGGGTACTTGGTAATGGGAACTAGGTCTTTCTCCCCCTCCTCACCGTTTTCTCCTCCACCTTCCATATGAAAACATGGAAAGCAAACGCACACCACCCCACCACACTTGGGAGGTAGGGCTGGGAGGAGACTCAGGAAGCCTGTTAGCCTGTGAGCCCCGCCTCCAGGTTCTTCCTTGAGGTTGTGTTGGCCGTCGTAGCTACTGCTTTTTGATGCTGGTTTTAGCATCAGCTTGTCCGTGTCTAGACAAACACGTGCTGGGATTGGATTGAATCTGTGGATTCTGGTGGGTGTCCTGACAGGCAGCAGTTGACGCTGCACCTGCCCTACCGGCGTCTCATAGGAGCATGAGCTGCAGTCCCCACTGCTCTGCTTGGACCCCAGCTCCCTGATGATAACCCTGGAAGGGACTGGATGACGCCCCAAGTGACCCCTGCCACCCAGGTGGGAGACCTCGATGAAGCTCCTGGCTCCTGGCTTCAGCCTGACCCAGCTCCAGCCATTAGAGGAGTGAACCAGCAAAGGGAAGATCCATCTCTCTCTCTCTCTCTGTAACTCTGCCTTTCAAATAAATAAATCAATCATGAAAAGAAACTATTGATAATTCAGGAATTATTATCTTATTAAGAATTAGTGTAAGCCGGCACCGCGGCTCACTAGGCTAATCCTCCGCCTGCGGCGTGGCACCCCAGGTTCTAGTCCTGGTTGGGATGCTGGTTCTGTCCCGGCTGCTCCTCTTCCAGGCCAGCTCTCTGCTGTGGCCCGGGGAGGCAGTGGAGGGTGGCCCAAGTCCTTGGGCCCTGCACCTGCGTGGGAGACCAGGAGGAAGCACCTGGCTCCTGGCTTTGGATTGGTGCAGCACTCCGGCCATGGCAGCCATTTAGGGGGTGAACCAACGGAAGGAAGACCTTTCTCTCTGTCTCTCTCATTGTCTAACTCTGCCTGTCAAAAACAAAAATAGTGTAAATATTGAATATTTCAACCCATGAACATGATCTGTGTCTCCATTTATTTAAATGTCTTATTTTTATTTTATTTAGATAGGTGTCTTATTTTTGTGCTGTATTTCTAAAGGCAGTGAAAAATTAGATTTACACACATAGCTACCACTGCTTTCATTCTGCATTCCTTATCCATCTCTTGCCCCCATCTGGTCTCATTCTCCGTCCAACCCAGGAATTTATGTTAGAACTTCCCTGCTGGTGCCGAGCTGTTTCGCTTTTTGCCTGCCTGGAAGTGTCTTCATCCCGCCTTCTGTATTAGCTGTATGACTGCATGACAGAATTCCGAAATTTAGTGAGCAAAAACAGTAAACACCGTTTATCTCCTGGTTCCTGTGTCAGGAATTCAGAAGTGACTTGGCTATAAATTCCAGCCACTTTGTTGTCTGGGGCTTAGGTTACGTAAAGGTTTGTCTGGGGCAGGAGGATGCACCTACAAGATGACTCACTCTTCCTGGCCCCACGCACCTCCCTGGGTGGCAGGGGACCATGGAGAAAGTGAGCCCAGACACAGCAACGCAGGAGCCACGCGGTCTTTTTCGACTTGGGCTCGTGGGTCGCATACCATGGCCTCTGACTGACTCAGTTCATTCACAGTGAGTCACTAAATCCAGCGCACAATCAAGCAAAGAGATTAGCCTCCACCCTTTGAACTGGGCGTCAAAGAATTTGTGACTGTTCTGCAAACCACCAGACCTCCTCCCCTCCTCCTCCTCTGCATCTTCTCTTCCTCTTCCCCCACCTCCTTCCAAGATTATTGTTTAAAAAATTCCTGTCAGTGGCTGGTGCTGTGGCCTTGTGGGTAAAGCTGCCACCTGAGGTGCCCGCATCCCATATGGGCGCTGGTTCAAGTCCTGACTGCTCCACTTCCGATCCAGCTCCCTGCTAATGCGCCTGGGAAAGCAGCAGAAGATGGTCCAAGTGCTTGGGGCCCTGCACCCATGTGGGTGACCCAGAAGCAGCTCTTGGCCCAGCTCTGGCCATTGTGGCCACCTGGGGAGTGAACCAGCAGATGGAAGATCTGTCTCTCTCTCTCTCTCTTTCTCCGCCCCTCTGTAACTCTGCCTTTCAAGTAAATAAATAATAAAATGTATTCCTACCAAATCTTTTGACTGGGAACCCCAAGCTAACTGTAGAGATAAATATTTCCCCATTAATTATTCCTTTTCTGCTGAAGAACATTTTTTAGCATGTTGGGAAGTATCCTCTGTTTTACTGACTTTTATCTTCAATCAAGAGTGTGTAATTTTATCAGGAGGATTTTCAACACTAAGATAATCATGCAATTTTCTATTTGTGAGTACTAATATGATGACATATCAGTCAATTTTCTAATATTTAACCTTATTTCCATTCCTAGATGGGCCTCTGTTTGGACACAACATGTCATTCTTTCAGCATGCTTTTGGATTTTGTTTGCTAAAATTATTTAGGATTTGTACCTTGAATCTTATACCCTATATAAACCTTTTTTTAAAAATTCTCATGGAGCTCAGGACACACTACCCATGTATATGTGTATATGAAAAAGCCAAAGCAAAAAGGGTCACTCACGCCTGCCCCTGTGCCACTGTCCCCTAGAACAGGGTCACTCAGGGGTCTTCTCATGAACTTCTCACTTGAGGCATTGCAAAACCATCCTTGGAGAGGTGCCCTTCCTGTGCCCCGAGCAGAGGAGCATTCTTATTTCTGAAGGCCCAGAGACACTGAGACAAGTGTGTACAAACAGGCCTGGCTAGGTTTTCCCAACGTATTACCACTCGCTCCTCACCTTGTTAATGTTGGTTTATTTATTTATGTTTTTTGCAGGAAAAGTAGAGACACAAAAACAGAAGAAGAGAGAGAGTCCTTTTGCTGCTTCACTCTCCAAATGCCTCCCACAGTCAGGGCTGGCCCAGCCCACAGCCAGGAGGCTGAAACCCAATCCACATCTTCCACACGGTGAGTGGCAGGGATCCTGGTACTTGCGTCACCATTGGCTGCCTCCCGAGAAGCACATTTGCAGGAAGCTAAATCAGAAGCAGAGAAACTGGGTCTTGAACTAGATGCAGGCTCTTATGCTACGACTCAAACACTGCACCAAAAGCCCACCCTAAATCATATCCTTTTGTCCTCCAATCGTGTTGTCTGTCCGTTCTTCATCAAACCCAAGCAGAACAATATATAAGTTTACCTGATTATCTGAAGGCTCTCTGCCACTTAAAACTTGTGTTTATTTAACAAATGTATGCTTTTCTGTTGTTATTCTGTGTTTCGTTGTAGGGGCATTCACCACAGACTTTGCAATGGATGAGGAAAATAAGTTCTCTCCTTCCCTACTTTTCAATCTATGCATACAGTATTTGCTTAAAAAACAGAAAAAGAGCTTGTTAGGCCGGTGTGGCACCATGGGTTAAGCCACTGCTTTTGATGCCAGCATCTCAGAGTGCCAGTTGGAATCCCAGCTGCTCTGCTTCCAATCCAGCCTCTTGCTCATCGTCTGGAAAATCAGTGGAGAAAAACACAAGAAGTAGGGCCCTTGCTACCCACATGGAAGATAGGGTGGAGTTCTTGGCTCCTGGCTTCAGCCTGGCCCAGACACGGCCATTGCAGCCAACTGGGGAGTGAACCAGCAGATGCAAGATTTTTCTTTCTCTGTCCCTCCCTCTCTCTGTAACTCTGACTTCCAAATAAATAAACAAATCTCTTAAAAATTTTTTTCTTTATGAAAAGAGATGTTTTCTTAAGTTTTTTGTTTTGATTTTTAATTTCTGATTTTTGTATAATTATTTGCTTCCTTCTAATTTCTTATTTTGGACATGGGTCCATTCTCTCTCTCTTTTAAAGATTTATTTATCTTTTTTTGTTTTGTTTTATTTGACAGGTAGACTTTACAGACAGTGAGAGAGACAGAGAGAAAGGTCTTCCTTCTGTTGGTTCGCTCCAAATGGCTGCAATGGCTGGAGCTGTGCCAATCCGAAGCCAGGAGCCAGGAGTTTCTTCCCGGTTTCCCATGCGGGTGCAGGGACCCAAGCACTTGGGCCATCCTCCACGACTATCCCAGGCCTCAGCAGAGAGCTGGACGGGAAGTAGAGAAACTGGGACTAGAACCGGTGCCCATATGGGATGCCGGCGCCACAGGCAGAAGATTAACCTAGTATGCCACGGCACCGGCTCTGAGATTTATTTAT